AAAGAAGATCTACACATGAAGATTTAAGGAAATAGTGAATCTTGCATGAGTAGAGGGCAAAGCTAGGGTTAGTCGGAGTCCATTGGTATATATAGGGTGTGTGAACTCGTGGGAAGGGTTTAACACAACTAGAGCAATTTCTTAGTAAAGGGATAAGGGTTTCAAATAAAAAGGGGAAATCTTGTATCAAGGGCTAAGGGGTGAAGAGAGGTTCACGATATCAAGGTTGATTCGTGAACAGGGTAAACTAGGATTGAGTGAAAGCAATACGTGTAAGTATTCAAGTCATCAATACTAGTAAAAGTGTTTTTGAGAAAACCCCTGTGTTGTGTTCTGTTTCTGCATCAGTATTATAATCTCTGTAGTAGTAGCTGTTACGTTTTCATACACTATCTCGATAATAAATAAAAAAGAAAATTACGCGCATAAGCTCTACCCAAACCCCAACTCTGATGATGGCAGTCACTTAACAAAATTATATCTATTCCCGAGCCTTATTCGGTCCTCTAATATCGACAAAGTACACAATAAAGACCAATCAAGAAACCCGACCAAAACTGACCACACTAACAAACGATCCTCAAGCACAAAAAAACCAGGTAACACTACCTTAATCCACACATTAAAGACAAGGAGACTAAGACCTTAGCAAAACGAGTTAACGGCGAAGCCGAAACTGAAATCTCACACAAGACTAAGTTTGTGAGGTTTAATATGGATTTCTCTATTTCAAGTTCAAATAGCAAAGAGTGGAATGAAGATAAAATATATACCAAATCTTTTCTGTATGATTAACGTTTTCACTTTGAAATTTCAATATTTGTTCGATGAATATATATTTCTCAACGGTTATTAGACGATTTTTTTTTGGTTTAGAGACATAGATTATATTTATACTTTTATTTCTCTAAACTCTTAGTTTGTTTAGTACTATAGCCAAACCAGGTTATCTTAGTCCATAATGTGATAAAGGTATACGTTGATTAGTTAAATGCACTGATAGTATGAAGATAATGACAAAGACGAGTGTTTAAATTAGATTAAAGTAAGTAAAGACATGTTAATTAAAAATAGTGATTGAATAGATTCGAGGTTCGATCTTAGAGGAAGACTTAAAAACCAAACAAAGTAGGAGGCCGATAGGTGTACGATTCGATGACTTCACGTGATTTGCGGTGTGTGATCAGTTGACTATACCATACATTATCAAAAGAGACATCACTCTTGTTTCGATGCTCCCAAACATTACTTAATTCACGTAATACTATATTAAAAAAAAAACGAACAATTT